CTTTTATTTTTACATTCTTCATTTCATAATTTTGAAATGATTCTTGTATGATGTAGCATTAAAAAAATGTAACTTCATCAAGAACAAATGTACTTGAGTCAGACTTTGCAGTGTACTTGATGGGGAGAAAGGGACATTAATGAGAAAATTACATGAAACAAGGCTCCAAGTTCACTATTTCAATTGACTCAAATCTACTTTTATTAATTTCTGTATTCATGTGCTGTATAAACCCCCCATATTTCCACAGAACAAGAAACTCATGATAAAAAATGTTAGTGACAGCAGAAATGATACAAATATATTTAACCAGTCCTCAGAGATTTCTATTTAACACTTATTAAACAGTACCTTACAAGATTCTCATGCTTTTAATGGGAATAATTTATTTGAGGACATAGGTGAGAACTTAGACTAGATAAAATAAGATATGCTCTTTGAGAGGTGCCCAACATATGCAGCCACTCTTTCCTAAGAAATTTTTAGTGTTGCAAAGGAGTTTTGCCAGCTTAGTAGAAAGGAATTATGCAGCCAATAAAAGGCACGAGATTTGAATTCACCAGTTGCTCCACCGGAGAAAGATGGACAATCTTCCGGTACACTTCACAGACTATGAAAATCTGCTGGAAGGTCATCTATGAGTCTCTTCTGACTTGGAGGCACATGACAACAACATGAAGAGATTTGAAAACCCCAGTTAGAAATTAGCTGCTAAGTGGATTGCCCTTCTGAACAATCTCACAGCTGAGAAGGTAAGGAGTGGGTATCAGGATTGTCAAGGCAATAAGAACTTGGACCACAAAAATGGCAGAAAGGAGAGAGGTTCCAAGTTTTCAGCCAAATTCTTTGACAATTAAATTACACACATTGATATTCAATGTGATAAATTATCCAAAATCAAAGACAATATTTTAACAGTTTCATGGTATTGAGAAAATGATAATTGGAGGGTTTTTTTTAAATTCACAAATGAGCTGAGGAACAGAGTTGTACTCCAGACACTCAGGTGGTACCACACTATTTTTTAATATTGTGACAACAAAAGGCAAACTAGAATTTTGAAAGACAACAGAGTGGCCTCAAGTCAGTTAACTCTTTGATTTGTTAAGATTAACTGCCTCTTCATTGTAGATTTGTCGATATGATAAGTATCCAGAGAAAAGAATAAATACAGATTGTCCATATTTTTAACACAAATGTAGACTTTTTTTTTTAAATAAAAAATCAATCAAAACTTAACTGGCAGGGGAGCTCTGGTGGCCTAGTGGAAAGAAGCTGCACTGCAATCCCAAAGATACACGGTTCGAATCCACCAGATGCTCTGCCGGAGAAGGAGGGACAATTTCCTCCTGTACCAGTCAGATCTGATTTGATGGTACATGCACAAAAAATAATAAAATAATTTAAAAAAAAAACAACTTATCTGGCATTCCAGAGAACACAACAAATTGAAAAATCAAATAGTAAAACAGAGACACTAAAAACTGCTCTGACTCCTCTTTGAACATTTGTTGTTATTGTTATGTGCCATCTAATTGGAACCAACTTACAGCTGAATCTCCAACCAGGAGAAGATGAAATAGATGAATGGGACCTTCTAAGAATCAAATCCCTATGCACATCCAAAAACTTCTCCTACACGGTAAAAAGGGAAGCCACAGACTGGGAAAAAGTATTTGGGAATGACATGTCAGACAAGGGACTTAAATCTAGAATTTATAAAATACTTGAGCACCACAAGAAGATAAACGTAAATAATCCAATTGAAAAATGGGCACAGGATATGAAGAGGCACTTCACCGAAGACGACATTCAGATGGCCAACAAGCACATGAAGAAACGTTCAAAATCCCAGCTCTAAGAGAGATGCAAATCAAAACAACTATGAGATATCATCTCACCCCAGTCAAAATAGCAAAATTTAACAGAACAGCAAACAACAAATGCTGGCGAGGTTGTGGAGAAATTCGAACCCTTATTCACTGTTGGTGGGAGTGTAAAATGGTGCAACCACTGTGGAAGGCGGTATGGCGCTTTCTCAAAAATTTGCAAATAGAGATACCAATCTGACCCAGCAATTCCACTACTGGGAATATACCCTAAAGAAACCATAACTTACATCCAAGCAGATATATGCATACCCATGTTTATTGCAGCTTTGTTCACAATAGCAAGGAGTTGGAAACAACCCAGGTGCCCATCAACATACGAATGGATAGAGAAGCTGTGGTATATTCACACAATGGACTACTATGCTGCATTGAAAAAGAAGGAACTCATGCAATATTATTCAAAATGGGTGACCCTGGAGGACATTATGCTGAGTGAAATATGTCAGTCACAAAAGGACAAAAGGACTGCATGATGCCACTGCTGTAAAATGGGCCTGATATCAGGGTTGGGGTAAGACTGAGAAAAACTGGATAAATTGTGTATACTACATTAAAACAGATGAGGGAGAGAATAATTTAAAAGCAATGTATGATAGGATATTACGGTTATCACAAGAGTTCACGATTAAGGTTGCATAGTGGAATGTACTTGGGGCAGTGGGAGAGGTGCCGGGGGATTGTGCACCAGGGAGGTTGTTTTACTTTTCAAAGAGAGGAGCAAACTGGGGAGGGGAGTGCAGGGTGGGAAAGAAGTGCAGCAAATCCAAAATCTCTGTAAATGTTCATTAAAATTATTAAAATAAGTTTTTTCTTAAAAAAAAGACTAAACATTATACAGGACAAAATTGCCCATCTTTCTCCCAATTAACTGCATTGGTGGACTTGAACTTTATATCTTTGTGTTGTTAATGTAGCTCCTAACCACTAGACCACCAGAGCTTCTTTTGAAGAAGTTTAAAGAGGCCTAATAGCTTGCTTATACAAGTTCAAATTTAGTTAAAGTTGGCTAATTTTGAGTAAAATTGAATTACAGTGAAGAGTATGATTCCATTTTGAATGTTTAACCGCTGATAGCTTTTTAAGTGCCACCTACTCTTGTTCTCTCTCACCTTACTGCTGGGCAACCTGATAAGAAAGCCAGCATGCTTTTGTTTTCCCTCTTTCTTTTCATCTGTGACAGCAGGGTAAAACTATGCAGCCCAAGCCTATGTGCAGCATTATCTCACCCTGGCTCTACCGTCTCACTACAATAAAAATCAAAGATATATGCCCCCTTTCTGTTCAAACATTTGTGGCTTGGCTTAGATGCATGCTGCACCTCATCTAAACAGTCCCATTATGTGAGTAATAAAAACTTTACATACTTTCTAAGTACATGGAAGAATTGCACCTAGGGTGTCCCTCAAAAACAGGATGGCTAAACTTCCTCTCACATACGTACGGCATGTTGGGGAACACTTGATAAGTAGTGGCAGGGCCACAGGGGACAAGGTGGGGAGATAGGACCTTTTCAGCTATGTGGATTCTGTTGCTGTTGCTGCCATACCACCATCCTGGGTTTCCACCTCACCTGGATGACTGTTCAAGATGGTGACACTGCACGTTTATGGTTCTGATGATGTTCCAATTTTGTTCCTTCTGAATTCTAATTGTTTCCCATTGTTTAAACTTATTCCTCTTAAGCTTCTAGTCTAATAACCATGCCACCTTTTCAACTGCTATATAGCTGTCATATTAGCAGTGCAGAATTTGCCTGAAGGTCTCTAAATTTCTGTTTCTCTCCTGTCAAACAGGCTAATGTCTACCCAAGTTCCTCAATCTTCTGGGCACCAAGAAATTCTTGAAAATCTTGACCATGAAGCAGCTGGTGAATTCAAACCATATGCCTTTGAATTGGTAGCATGACTCCTTACCACTAGACCATCTGAGCTCCCTCATAGCTAGCATAATTTATGTTTATTTTACTAGTATTTGTTTATTAGATATAAATACGTAATACTCTTCAGCACTCACTCACAATGGTATCAGTTTTGCCTTCTCTCCTTCCCCTTTCTACACTCTACTTTTTTAGCACACCAAAAGTCTCAAAACATGGAAGTGCCCTTGACATCAAAGACCAATGTAGGAGAGGCTTTGAATTGTTCAGTAACCTAGTAAAGTCTCAAAACAAGTGGCTGTAATGTCAACAGTGATGAAGTTCTTGTACCTGGATGGACACAGAATCAGAAAAAATGTCTCAATAGTATACTACAGCTTGATCTTTAGCTCTAAACTGGGATTATCTAGAGATACTGGAGTTTTGGCAGGAAGCTTATGGACTGTTACTATGACTAAAGATAACACATACTCAGTCCTGTTATAGGTAATGATTCTGACTTATTCAGAATCATTCAAATGAATGATTCGGCTTGGAGGTCTTTCTCTGCGTGGGTCTGAGTGTCTTCAGCTAGGAAGGCTCCATCAGTAATGAGTTAAATGAGGAACAAACTAAGCAGGTATTTAGGATACCTTTTTACAACATCTTTCCTCCAAGATTACACAGTACAAGGTTGAATTTATCATACTTCGCCCACATAGTCCTTTAACTCTTAGAACACAATGATAATCTTGAACAAATGCTCCAACTACTGACCCAAGATCCTTCAGTCAAATAGCTCTTTGGATAAGACAAGATCTTTTTTCCACAAGTTCACAGTGTGATCATCTACTCTATATTTGAGATAGATAGTGGGTGGAGAGATAGGAGAGGAAGAAACACAAAGAGCAGTGTTTCAGAGGTTAACAGTTTAACTACCTCAAGTAACAGTATTCTTTAATGCAGATTATTTTTTAAAAAAGAAATCAATGTGTTCCTTCTCCTTCTGCACCTATTGTTCAGGAGTACTAGTAGATACATACATTTTAGAACATGCTCAGAGTTTTGTGATAGAGCACAAATAACTGATAATGCATTACCTTTATAAAGGGTGGGATAATTAGACAATAATAGAAAGATTCCTCCACTTTTTCTCTCCAAGAAAAGCAGTAGAATAATGGTGTGTTGAAATTCTAAGAGCTGTATATAGAGATTAGATTAATTGATAATCTCTCAGCCCTCTTCTGACTTACCTCCACCAGTTTATTGGCATGTTCACGGAAAACCTGGGCATATTCTTTCACTTCCTTTTCATTGCCACTCTTTGCAGCTTCAATGAGAACTAGCAAAGGGACATTGGTTTCCAAGAAAGAATCTGATATGTGATCCATCACTGCTTTCCGGAGCTACAAGTAGATAAAAACAAAAAACACACAATTAAGAAATAGGTTGTAAAGGTGCCAAAATGTATGCTTCCAAAACACTTTGAAGCTCTCATCGACTAAAACAAGAATGAACTGAGGAAGAAGAATTCAAATCAAAGTCTTTGAACTGTGGTGCTGACTAAGAATACTGAATGTACCAGGGAATGTCAAAAGAGAAAACAAATATGTTTCAGGAGAGGTAACCAGAAGAGTTTTCTTTAGAGGTGAGGCTAGTGAAACTAAGTCACACATACTTAAGGCATATATATTATGAGGAGGGACTAGTTCCTGGGAAAGGACACACTAAGAAAGGTAGAACCTGAGAGAAACAGAGGAAGACCTCATCAGATGTGTTTACACAGTAACTAAACAATGCATTTGACCATGGCATATATCAGTAGGATAGCACAGGGTAGGGCAAGGTTCTTACCTGTTTTTCATAAGGTTACTCAGATTTGTAGCTAACCTAAGCAGCAATAGCTATTTTAAATTTACAACATAGAGGGTTGCACTGCTAACTCAAATGTTGCACCACTCTGGTGATTTGATTTGACCAGGTGTCAAAGATGGACAAAGAGAAAGATGGACAATCTCCTTCTGAGAGACTTAAAGCCTGAGAAACTCAATAGAGAGTCAATTATGAGTCAGTTCCAACTCAACGGTGAAGTTTTGGTTTTGGTTTGTTGTTTTTTTGTTTGTTTAGTGTTTTGTTTTTTTAGGGGTGCTTAGTTTGTCATATTATGTGACAAAGTCTTTGAAATTATTTCCAATGCATCAGAGAGCTGAGCAATGACTAGGGATGATAGAAAGAGAATTGATGACATTGAGCTGTGGTGCTGGAGAAGAGTATTTAATATACCATGGACTGCTAGGAGAACAAACAGGTTCATTCTAGAGAGGGTGAGACTAGGCTGCTCTTGGAGGCAAGGATTCTGAAGTTTTGTCTAACATACTTTGGACATGTTACGAGGAGGGATCAGTTCTTGGAGAGAGACATCATGCTTGGAAGGGTGGAGGGAAAACACAGGAGAGGAAGACCCTCTATGAGGTGGATTGATTCAGTGACTGGGGTAATGGTGGTAGGTGTATCAGAGACAGTAAGATTGGCACAGGATAGAGCAGGGTTTAGGACTTTGTACATAGAGTCACTATGAGTGGCAGGCACATAACAACAAACAATACCACATTAAGGGAAACAGAGATGACATATTTATATATGTAACAATTGAAATACACACACACACACACACACACACACACACACACACACACACACACATCTATGGCCCATAGCTCAACACACTGTAGACTTTCAGTAATGAGAACTCTGTACTCATCTTTCATTAAACAACATATTCTTCTTAAATGAATTTTTGTGTCATAATGTAGTGCAGGGACTCTGAAATTTCTGAAGAAAAAAATAATGAAAAATTGCTTTAGGAATTAATGAAGTAGGGGGAAATTTGGGTAGAGAGATTTATCTTGAAACCACCTCCAAATATTAACACTTCTTTCTCCTGTTCTTTCTAGATCTCCTGTATTTGACAGAGATGGAAACAGCAAACATCCAGGAGTGAGAAATTTTGCCTTTTATTCATTGATGGGCTCAGAAATGTTTGTGTCCAGGTGTCATGATGATGAAGTTGGTCTTCTCCAGAAAAATAAAAGTACTTAAATTAAATTATCCTTTAGGGTTAGTAAGAATAAACATTAAGATCTTTAACAATGTTCATTGTTCATTACAGATCTTTCCCACATTTTTAAAACAAGAAAGGCAGGTGGAAAATATTAAACCATCCCTGAACAACAGTTCAGTATGGTTTCGTTCATAATTTTCTTAAAGTAGAAAGGGAGACAACATCATAAACACCCACCCACCCACCCACACACCCTATATATATAGATATAGGTATGTATAGATAGATACATAAATATACATATATTTTGTAAGTATTATATATAATTTCATACATATATAGTTATCTGGATGGTTTTAAAAGATATAGATCTATTAAGGAATAGTCAGACACCTTTGACAAAGGTATACATATTTACTGATCAAATGAAGGATAATTACGAAAAATCTCAATTCCTTTTTATCTTAATTCCAATAACGTATGTATACCATATTTCAATTTGACTCTGAATGGGATTTCATTGGCACTAAACATGATGAAGGAATTCTGGTGGTATCCTTTGCAGCATGTCAACCTGCTTTCTAGAAGGTTGGTGATTTGAATCCAATAGTTACTCCCAGGGAAAAGGATGGACAGTCTCAATTCATACGGGTTTGCAGCCTCAGAAACCTGATGTGGTTGGCCCTATGAGTAAGAATTTACTCAGCAGCAGTGGGAAATATGGCAAAGTGTAAGGTTGAAGTGTAAGATTCTCAACACTGGGCCAATTGGCAGCATCATAATGGATGGTGAAGAAAATGAGATTGTTAACAGTATTAGTTTGCTTCTCCATAATCAAAGATTCTTGGTACCAGCAGCCAGGAAATCAAGAGACGAATTGCATTGGGAAAATCAGCTGTCAGGGACCTCTCCAAAGTACTGAAGAGCAATGATGTCAGGCTGACGATTAAGGTGTGCCTAATCCAGGCCATAGTCTTTACAATTGCGTGCTATGCATCAGAGAGCTGGACAATGACTAGGTATGATAGAAAGATAATTGATGCCTTTGAGCTGTGGCACTGGAGAAGAGTGCTGAATATAACATGGACTGCTAGAAGTACAAACAAGTTTGTCCTGGAGAGGATGAAACCAGGCTACTCATTGGAAGCAAGGATTCTGAAGCTTTGTCTGACATAATTTGAGCATGTTGCTGGGAGGGATCAGTATTTAAAGAAGAACATCATGTTTGGGAGAGTGGAGGGACAGTGCAAGAGAGGAAGAGCCTCTATGAGATGGATCAATTCAGTGATGGGGTAATGGGAGTAGGTGTATCAGAGACAGTGAGGTTGGCACAGGATAGAGCAGGGTTTAGGGCTCTTGTAAATAGGGTCGCTATGTGTTGCAAGCAACTCAATGGCACATAACAACAACAATGTTAAATATACTTAATATTATCTGATAATAAGTATTGACTTACTGCCTAAGAATTATTGTTATTGTTGTATGCTGCTGAGTCAGAACCAATTCGTAGCTGAACCTCTAGTGAATTTTCAGAGGCAGCAAATAACATATAAGGAGATTGCTCATCCTTCTCCTATGGAACAGCTGCTGTTTATCTATGAATTTACATATTCAGTGCGTGTAAAATGAGCTGGATACACAATCAATACCTTTATACATAGAGTTTAATCTCTTAATCACAACAATGAAAAATGAATTATTCTTAGACCACCTGTTTTAAAAAAGGAAAGATCTAGGACTTGGGAAAGCAAAACAATTTATCTGGAATCATAAGCAAGTAGCAGAACCAGAATTGGAAAAGAAACAACCTGACTTGGTCTCAAACTTTCATTTCCCAGAAGAAGCCCTCTTCTAAGTAAAACAAATGTTCCTAAATTTAAAAATCCCAAGACTGGATTCAAGGCCTTGTTCCAATAGCTCTTTTCTGATTCATGTGTTCATTCTTTTTCATTTCTTTGAACATTTATAGAACAATTACTATTAGTGAAACCACTGAATATAAAATAAAATATAAAGAAATAAAAGAACTTCAAATGTTTATTGATGGAAATATGGCATTTTTTTTGTTAGGTGCCACTGAGTTGACCACAACTCACAATGACCATATAAACAACTCATCTGAACCTTGTGCTATCCTGAGCCATCCTCACCATCTCATGTACTTGTTACAGTCACTGTGTCAATGCATTTTTACAGGATCTTCCTCTCTTTCTTGAACTCTCCACCTTTACCAGCATGATGTTTTCCAAAAGACCAGCCTCTCCTAACAGCATGCCTGAAGTATGTGAGATGAAGTTTTACTATCCTTCCCTTTAATAAACACCTTAGTTGCATGTACTCCAAGACAAATTTGCTTGTTCTGTTGGCAGTTCCTGGGATACTCAGTACTCTTCTTCAAAACCACAATTCAAAGGCACCAATTTATCTGTAATTTTTATTTACTGCCCAACTTTTACATACATAGGAAACAACCGAAAATATCATGGCTTGGATTAGGCTCACCTTAGTCTTTAAACTGACATCCTCGTTCTGTGGCATTTTGGAAAGGTCATTTTTTAAAAAACAATTTATATTGGTTTACATACAAAATTAGTATACATTGTATTTCATTCATGTACATCAAATTTCACACACTGCTTTATCCACATGGTATTTTACACAATTATTCCTATACATTGTGTTTCCTAAAATTAATCACTATGCCCACTCTTATCCCATATTTTCAGGTTCCTGTTGGATCTTTCCTACTTCCTTCACATCCTCCTTTCACTCACTAAACTTTGTCAACCAGTGACTTCCCTCTGCTTCCAAATTTCTTGATATTTATGAATCATTATGCCCAGGTATGTATCTATTTGTTGAAATATATTAATTGGTATTCAATCAATTACTATTTAACTGAAAGCAATATAGATGAATGGGTTTTGTTACTGCTAGGTGCTAGAGAGTCAGCTGTAACTCATAGAAACCTTCAAGTACAAAAGAAGAAAACTCTGCCCAATCTTGTTCCATCCTCACAATATTTACTTGTGCTTATGCTTGGACGGGTGGGAGGTGGAGGCAAGGGAAATATAATGATTAAAGTTCCAAGTAATTCCTGATTGGCCTATGACAGGGTTATATTCCAAATCCTCTGTCAAAATGCTGCATTGAAAAACAAGGAACTCATGCAATAGCATTCAAAATGGGTGAACCTGGAGGACATTATGCTGAGTGAGGTATCTCAGTCACAAAGGGACAAATGCATATAGCACTGTTGTAGAATGAGGCTGGCATTGGGGTGGGGGTAAGACTGAGAAAAACTGGATGAAATATGTTTACGGCATTGAAGTCTATGGGGGAGAG